CCGTCATGCAGCACTACATCTACCAGATGTCCCCCTGCGGTAACCTCGCCACCGTCTGCGAGGAGGGTCCCGCCCAGATCAACGTCTGGGCCCAGTGCCTGCCCTACATCTTCATCGGCCTCGCCGAGATCTTCACCAACGTCACTTCGTACGAGTACGCCTTCTCCAAGGCCCCCGAGAACATGAAGTCCCTCGTCATGTCCGTCAACCTGGCCATGAGCGCCGTCTCCGCCGCCATCGGCCAGGCCTTCACCCCTCTGTCCGAGGACCCCCTCCTCGTCTGGAACTACACCACTGTCGCCATCATCGCCTTCGTCGGCGGTGTCGCCTTCTGGTTCTGCTTCAAGCACCTCGACAGCGAGGAGGACCACCTCAACCAGCTCAAGAAGACCAAGTTCCTCGGCCAGAACCAGCCCACCGCTGCTGCCCAGGAAGACGCCCACGCTCAGACTGTCGTCAGCGACAAGGTCTAAGAAAAAAGAGAAACGTGTTTCCGATAATGTTCGCCACGTCTCTGAACCAAGTGTCTTGGAAAGGGTCGGGGCATGCTTATACCTCATTTGGTTGTAATGATTTCCCGCGTCAAATGATTCCCCCGGTGGTTGGTTTTGACCAGTTCCCAACATCGTAGCTAGACAAAGTGCACATGGTGCATGTAATAAAAATATCTATTTTATCAGAACGTTTTGAGCGGATTTTGTCTAGGGCATCAGCAGCAGCCATGTGCGTCTCAATGTAAAGCGTTCTCTTCTCCAGGCCCCCCGTCCTGTTCGATCGGCAACAGTCTGCCTCAGTTCCTGATCCTCTTGTTCTTAGACGCCCAGATGATTATTCGCTGTCTGGTCTGCCGCATTTCCTGGACGCCATGGTCCTGTATTAGGCTTTGCACCGCCTTCGCAGACGTGATTGCTTGTTTTCAGGGTGGTCCTGGAATGACTTCAGCAGAACATCTTTTACTTGAATTTCCTGCCCTTTCCAATGAATTCTCCGCAAGTTGTACATTGCATAGTGAAAGGTGCGTTGCTGAGGGTAATAGTTCCGGGGAATGTATGTAAAGAAACCTTGCGTTCAGACATTTTGTAAGTGCATTTACTTGCAGATGAGGTTTTTGTTATGAGGCTATTCTAAGGCAGCAGCAGCATGTCCATGACAAGGTAAGAATTTGGGGTTAATTTATTCCTCAAGAGTGTGGACGGATACAGCAGTCAAAGTGTCTTATATTATACAAAGTCCCTGTAACCATGGTAGCTGAAGCTAAGCTTTGGCAGAAGGAAAGTTATTCAATACCTTGTTCACTAAATCTTGCTATTGCTGGAGCTCCGGGTCTTTTCACTACTGAGTATGAATAGCTGTACTCCAGTGTCTACCTCAGATACGCTCTATGAGCTAAGCTAGTCTCTTTAGGCCAAACTACACCCTAGCAACTAAGTTGGTCTATCTCCCATTATGCGTCTTTTTTGTCATCCCTTGTCTCATTCTACTACTGGAGCGCAAAGACCAATCCGGGTTCGGGTTGCCTACATATCTGCTTTAAACTGCAAGCCACCGCTCTAAGATTGGGCATATCATCTCAGGACTACGTGAGTCTGTTTATTCATAATCTGCGGTGCTGGCTAATATTGCCACACTCACGTGCGCATTGACAGGCCTATGTTGAAAATGAGTGTCTGGGGTTGGGCAGCTAAACAACTCTGCAAAACGAATGGCAGCGGATCAACTTTCATGATCGCAGCTTTATTCCAGTACCATTCCTCTCAAATCCCTATCGATTGTACGAAACGTTGGATTCAAATGTCATTATCTAACACTGAATCTTGACAGACCCTTTCCCGCTGAGATCGTAGCACTTGTTGACCGTTCCCAAAGTTTTGGCGTTCCTGAGGCAATTTCGGTCGCTAAAGGAGACCACTGCGAAGCGGAGAGAAATGTCAGCATAAGGTCCTGATAGGTAATAATAGGCAGAAGGAGCAGTGCTCTTACGGTGGCAAAGGCCGTTGCGACCCAACATCTTGACAGCGCGGGAACTGTCGGACAATTCGATGCACTCGTTGCGAGTATAAGATCGGGCAGGACCGGGCCCGCCGCAGGTCTTTGTGATGTGCCACTTCAAGGTGACATCGCCGGCACGAGCAGCTTTCTCGTTCTGTGCAAAAGCTGCGGGCACAAAAAGGGCAGAAACTGCGACGGCGGCGGATGCGAGTTTGGAGAAGAGCATGTTGGCAAGTGATGAACTGAGATATTGAGCGGTTATTTGTTAAAAGCTGACGGAGTAATGAAGAAATTGTAAAGAGTAGAATGAACTGAAGAACAAATTCGAGGTTTGAAGGGAAACTGGCAGGCATTTATAGTCAAATGGAGCTAATGTAAATCTACATGTTCTAGGTGGTTGACTTCTTCCCCACTATTCGAGAACCGCGATCTCTGCTTGGCAGACAATCATAGGATGCCTCTACTTCCAAATGGGAGCAGGCTTTTCGAGATGTTGCTATGCATTCTTCGAACTCAGTAAAGCAGCAGGTGACCCTTACACAAACGACTACATCGGCAGCAAGGGCTACCATCTCAAGGACCAAGGATATCCAGGACGTTTCTGCTTCTCGTGTGAGCACATTGTTTCACCATTTTGGCAGATCAGCGTCTGACTTGTGCTTTGAACTGCCAATGAAATCAAGGGGAAATGTGTACGAATCCTTCGTACTTGTGGCTTGCATGATACATAATCACGTTACCCAAAACTGGTTTCCATGTGGCTATTTGAATAAGGGGAACAGAACCGGTGTACGTGTATTTGGTGTACCTTAGTTGATTAGAGTATCCTTCACAGTTTCGAAAAGTGTTTCACAGCTAGGCAATCCACATCAAGGTGAATGATATTGAAGAGACGAGGGTTGCAAGCACTGTATGTGTAAGATTACTCCTTTGCCGCTGATCTATACTCGCTATATCTGAAAGCAGTAAGCAACACAGCTTGGATGTATGCGAAGACTTAAATGTAGAAGAATGCTTACTGGGATACAAACACGCTTATCGAGCCACGAACACTTTGAGAAACCTGCCCATCGAGCTGGAATTCCAGGCATCAACCTCCTCAGAGTGATCTTGATTGGGTGATCATCCTACAGAGACACATCTTACAACCAGAACTCCGTCAGCCTGGGGTTGAGGGTCTCGCCGTCGTTGCCCGGCGTGTATCAACTTGGCATCTCATATGAAATTCAATTGGTAGATTAGATCTTACGGGTCGGACCTTCCGGCAGCTTATTCTCAAAGAAATAGAAAAGACAACCACGTCACCATGACGGTCTATGCAATTCTTTCTCCGTTTATGGTAAGGTGCCTCTCAAGAAAGACAGATGTGGAGCTGCGTCTTGACGAGTTGGTCTGAGGGCCGGGGCATCCCGCCTGCTCCTTGCATTTCCGCCCAGCCGCTGAACGCCCGAACTTAGGGAGAGCATTACAGCCAGGCGCAGGCGTTACTCAAGGGACTCAAAACGAATGTGCTAGGGCAAATGAGACCACATATGTCTACTCAACAATGGCTGCTGATTTAATTTCCTAATGTGAACGACGCACTTTCCAAACTGATCTGACTGTGCTTTTGCTGCATACGGCATGGCAGAACGGCTTTCTCTGCTAAGGGCTTGGTATGTGGCCTTGCCCTTCCAGAGCATTTTAGCAACGGGTGATAGCACACTTGCCACGAATTGAAATGTTCACGTTCTCAAAAAGCTCATCAACCATGTTGAACAAGTCTTATGCATATATCGCTTCTTTCTCCGGCCCAAACAGCGCCTTAGTTTCGCCAAATGCTTCTCCTTTCGCCTCAGGTCAAGTCTGATGGGAATGATGTACCTATTTTTGACAACATAGCAGTGTTTGGGACTCTTCTGTCTCCGCGATCACAGTTGAAAACACATTGATCTTAAAATATCCATCTCAATTTAGCGATCCAATCCCAAAATCTATTTAGGAGACCTCATCAATAAGTCCCTTAAAATAACTTTTTAAACCACATAATGAATAGGAAAGCTAACTAATAATCTCCTTACTAATCTCCCAACTAACCTTGTACATTTTGATGTAAGATGTAAAATCCTATATGTTGTGCTTCGACTTAGAATCCTCAAACTCCTGAAAAGGTGCCGGTTATCCGGTTTACAGTTGTTCCCCAGAACACCCAGATTTCCTCGCGGTGTAAGCGCTTTTTTAATTCACCAGCAATCTTTCAAATCTTTTGTATCATTAAATAGGATTACTGCGGTTCTATTAGGCTTCCATTCGACTCGTCATATGTGTCTAAATTTCGTCCATTAACGCACACTTCAACAATTAGAATTGTTGCAGCTGTGTCTGAGTCCTAAGAACCCCTGATGTTGCCACCATCTCGTTTGATCCTAGGCTATATGCACTGCCTAGGCAAATTTGTCATTATCATTAAGTAACCAGAGGTCTTGACGAGATTGAAACAAATTCAGATCCACAGCTAACACAGTCAAACTCGGTCAAACGATTGGTAATATGGATGATGAGAATGTTCTCATTGCGAAGGATAGGCGATTGAGGCATTTGAGTGGATCTTCCAAACGAAGGAAATGCGCAAGAAAGGCAGTCTACGATAGCTCGGCTATGCGCGATTGTTTCATGGCGCTGGAAATAACCTTTGATAAAGCCTCCGACCTTCGCCATATCAGCAAGCGTCTTTGAACGTTCTGAGTTGCAGTAAATATTTCTCCAGTAGAATGATCGAGACATGGAAAGCACCAAACACCATCGTGCCTGCTTCTGAAAGGCTTTTTGTTGCAGCTGCACCAGTGGAGCCTCAGGCTTTTCTTTCACCTTGACAAACAGCTGAATTTACCATGCTGGGGGCGCGACAACACCCACCTCATTTGACTAAACACCTCTTCCATCTTCCGACCGATTGAAAATTAGACCAGATTCGCTCGTTTGAGAGCACCTATCAAAAACATCGACCAATCGCGCCGCGACTCTCCCTCAACATGGCTGGATCCCCCACTAATCCGACGGTCATCACGATGGATTCTCCCAGCGCAGACGATGACAACAGCAACGACAGAGGTAGCGACAGAGGCGGCGACAGAGGACGACAACAGAGGACGACGACGACAGAAGACGACGACAGAGGCGGCACTGTGATCGAGAAATTCACAGGTTTCGCTACTCTGCCATTAGAGCTCATTCTCGAGATCGTTCAACTCTGCATCCCAACCTACAGGCCTGACCTCAAACAAGATGTCGCCCAGCTTTCTGCCGTCAACAAGAGCCTTCGGATGATGTGCATTCCAACCCTCTTCACCATTGTGCAGATGCGCACTAACCACCACCGTTTCTCTCGTCTTGTTCGAGGCATTGAAGGCAGTGACGTCCTCATAGCCATCCAGTGAGTCTCAAGCCTCTACTTCCACTCGTCTATTGCTCCCTTCAACATGTCTCGAATGGCCCGGAGCGATATCCGTAGACTCCACGGGAAAACACTCCCGAGCGCGGATTCGTGCATACCCCCGCCGTGCCCCTTCGACCATTGATCGACGTATCGCGAAGATAGAGGGTGGGCGCGGGCAACAGGAAGGAAGTCGCCGGCCCGGAGCAAGGGCGGCGGCAGCGGCAGCAGCCTCTGGATTTTCGCTCCGAGCGTTTCGCTAGACACTGGCTGCAGCGTCTACAGTGTCTGGTATTTGGATGATTCTAATAATCTGAAACAGTCATCTGAGAATTATTTCTGTCCTGCCTCGCGCTGAGACTTCAGGCAACGCGAGTGAGTCTTGGTATCGAGACACGCCTGCCCAATTTGCGAGCGTCCTGGGCCAGATGTCGAACCTTCAAGACTTGGATCTCTACTTCGCGGATGGATACCAGAGTCTCATGGTGGCTGTGCAATACGAGCTCCTCAAGCAACGCATTACCGTCCCCAGCGTCACCAAGTTCGATCACTTCGCAGAGAGCACGACGCATTTCATTCCTACTGTCTTTACTGGACTGAATGCCCTCCACCTCACTGTGACAATGGGCAAGTCTCCAAAGACGATCCCTGGATTGTCTACCATTGCCTCCAAGCTCAACCTGCACACCCTTAGCCTCTGCAAGTTTGGTTGGCAAGCGAAAGACTTCGACGAGATTTACGACCTCTTTCCAGGTGTTACCAAGCTGATCATTGGGGGTCAGATTCAGAAGTTCAAGTTCTCTGTAAGTTCTTCGCTTCGTTTTCGAACTGCACAGCAACTGACAAAGCAAATTCAGACCGTATTACCGGTCTTCGAGCGATTTAAGAAGCTTGAGATTCTTGGGCTCCGTGATATCTTCGACTTCACCATTGAAGATGTGATGACGAACTTGCTCGACGAAGAGGGCGACTGCGTTTGCGACTGTTGTCTCGGTGACGACCCCTGTAACATCGACACTAACTGTAGTTGTGACGAATGCCACTACAATGACGAGAACTACGAGAGATCTCACGAGATGGCTCAGCATAATCTCCTCATGTCTATGGAAGAGGACCAAGTGAAGAATGCAACCAGTCTCTTCGTGGAGTGTCCTAGACTTGAGACGGTGTACTTCCAGCTCCGCAACGATGACTACTCTACTTGCTACCGTCCTATCAAAGATGACAAGGGCAACGTTGACACTGTCACCATCAACGAGTATGAGGATTGGCCTCAGATCTTCACAGACTTCTACTATTGAAGACAGTGGTGGATTATGTGTGGTCATCGACACTCGGCAGGAAAAGAAGGGACATGGAATTCAAAATATAGAGGGCGACGATAGTAACAGCGACGGCGGTGATAATAGCGGCGACGACGACGACGACGACGACGACGACTGCACCAATAATGAATTATATGGCGACAGTAAGGTCAGTAGGCGGTCTCTGTTAAGGAAATACCAGACTGTAGTCTAGTTAGACAGCTCCCGTAAGCAAACTCGCACACATCTGACGAACGCACCTGTTCTTGAATAATGCTAGGAAGGCTGTTGGGTTTTCTGTATAATTCACGTCCGGGAGTCTTAGGTTGAAGCTAGGATTGCAATGAATGTTGCTCTCCGAGTGATCGGCCGAGACAGGAGCAAGCTCGATGGACGCGCCTGCCTCTGAAATGGAGGGCTTTGTTGCAACTGTAAGGGTGGGTCCCCACGACGTTCTTTCCCCTTTGACATGGAAGCTCACTTCACCTCTGCCGCAAAATCTGCCTGATTTTGAACAAATCCTACCTACTTCCACTTCCCATACGCCTGAAAATCAAGAGAAGAGTTTGCCCGTTCCATCCCGACCACCTGCCAAACGACAACCGGCTGCGCAACAGAGCGCTTCCATCCGCACCTCTGCTCGGTCACAATCGTGATGGCCGCCGAGGTGAAGTCTCCCGCCGCAAGCGCTGCTGAAAGCGGCGCTGTTGCCGGAGAACCTGATCTACCTCAAGCCGTTCCTACCACGACCAAGACCTACCTCGTCACTCTCCCGCAAGAGCTCATCCTCGATATCATCAAGCTCTGCGTACCTCCACGACCGCTCTACAACAGAATCACAGTGAACAGAACCATCACCATTTCACAGCTTTCTCTTGTAGACAAGAGCCTTCGCGAGATGTGCGTTCCGATACTCTTCAGCAGCTTGAAGCTGAGCACCGACCATGTCAAACTTCTTGGCCATATTCAAGTTCTCGAGAACAGCCGCGTTCTCGAAATCGTCCAGTGCGTACTTGACCCTTCGCCGCTCCACCCAGCTTTGAATGATCTGCATCATCATTTGGGCAATACTAATTTCTACCAGACATCTGAAAATAACTTCAACCGCCTTGCGCGATGCTACTCCTCAATGGGAACGAGACACACCTTCCCGTCTAGCAGGGCTTCTAGGCCGCATGCCGAATCTCAAAGATCTGAGCCTGTCCCTGCAATCGGGAGAGAAGTCATTGGCGACCGCCGTTCAAGACGAGCTCGTGAAGCAATGTATCACCATTCGAACCGTCAAGAGATTCGACTACGACATATCGTTTTCAAACCCAGACCCATCACCTTCGGTCAGCTTCATTGCGTCAGTTTTCGTGGGACTGCGGGCCCTTCATCTCGATCTCAGGGCTGTTACTTCTCTGAAGACTGTGGCTGGCTTGTCGACCATCGCGCGTCGCCTGAAGCTACGCAAGCTCAGCCTCCACAACTATCTCTGGACAGCCCAGGCTATCAAAGACATCTACAAGCTCTTCCCGAAAATAACAAGCCTGATTGTTGGAGGGGAAGTATTTGATGTTGCGATTTCGGTAATGACGGCCACCTTTCATTTCATGTTTTTGTCTTTGTCAGTCGTTTGTCTCTTCGCATCTCTGGAGCTGACTTCAACAAAAATAGGAGATGATCCCGACTTTCAAAAAGGTTCGAAATCTTAGATCTTTAGCAGTCACTGACCTCGTTTCCATTGATGACGAAGATCTGGGTGAGTACTTGTGGGCAGTTCGAGATGAGTGCGAATGCGAGGACTGTTTTACGAACGATGACATGGATCTTGTCTGGGATGAGGGCCAAGAAGGTGCCTGTGATTGCCCAGATTGTTCCTTCACTGGAGGGCATTACGGCGAAGCCCTTGATATGGCCCGAGAGCACCACCCTTTGGCCGAGGACCAGAAAGAGAACGTGAGGAACATCTTCAGGGAATGCCCGGATCTCGAAGTCTTGTACTTCCAGACCACTTGGGCCCAAGCCACTCGCTATAAGCCTTTGAGAGATGATTCTGGTCTATTCGTCCGATTCCGGTACAAGGAGCTTGTAGACTGGCCTGAAATTTCCAAAGAGCTTAGTGCAGCGTAAGATGACTGCTAGCACGGAGATGGACCTGGGATGCGAAATGTACCAACAGAGCATGTACAATAGTTGATGAATCGAATGACACCTGCTACTATGACTGTCACTTCTCGACATGCCTGATGATTTGATAGACGCTATTTCATGGAAGTAGCAAACTTTCCCTATTTGACATTCATTTGAGTTCTTTTCGGGATTGCTGACTATGTGATATGTCGAATTTCTTATTGCTATCTTGATTGATATCACGCCGCTACAGTCGGCTCTGTGGCTAGACCTTTTTCCTCCATTCGTTTTCTCCGTTTTTCCCTTTCTTGAAGTGGCCACCAATCTACGAGGCGAAGACTGCTGTCATTGTTCTGTTCGAGAAGGAGCGAAGTAGCAAGCTCAAGGCAGGTGCGAACCTTCCCAAACCTTTCGGCTGCACAAACGGGCCAACTACCTACCTTTCGCACACGCAAACCAATTCCCCTTCTTCTTTCCGTTCTCCAGGAAACCTCTTTCTTTACCCATCTACCTCCAGACAACCGATCGCCCGCAACAAATTCCTCCCCGCGTCTGAGCCGTCCACGATTCCGATGGACACCGACACGAACTCGCCCTGCATAAGCGTTGGCAACGCTTGTGTCGGAGAACCAGACCAATTTCTTGCCGTTCCTGCCGTCCACTCGAGGACCTACCTTGTCACTCTCCCGAGAGAGCTTGTCCTCGAGATCATCAATCACTGCATGGGAACCAAGGAGCAAATCTCCAGAAAGAAACGCGATGTCGTCCGGCTTTCTCTCGTTACCAAGTTCGTTCGCGAGATGTGCATAACATTCATCTTTACGACCATGCGAATCCGTACCCCGTACCACGAGTTCCTGTCCAAAATGCAGTCTATCGAGGGCAACAGACTTCTGCATATTGTTCAGTCAGTCCCGACCATTCGCCTATTGCCCCGTCTTCTCTGAACTGCTTGCCCTACATCATGAAGACGGCGGGCCAATTGAACAGCGCTGACTGTACTCAGGCACCTGGAAATCAACCTCTTCAGCGAGACCGACCGTGAATGGAAGCCGGAAACGTACATCAGTCTTGCAAGACTTCTAAATCACATGCCCCGTCTCAACGACTTGTGCCTCAACCTACTCCATGATCGTGAGTTCGGCCATCGCCTAGGAACTGAGCTTCTTAGGCAACATCTCGTGCTGCCGGTCGTCAAGAAAATACAATACGGATTCGATCTGTGCCGGATGACGCCAGGCGTCACCCTCATGCAAAAGGCCTTTCCAGAATTGGACGCCCTCCATCTGAACGTCGGACACCAATCACACGACGTTTCTCTGGATGAGTTGTTCTGCTTGTCATCGCTCAATCTGAAGACTATCAGCCTCCGAAAGCCACGCTGGGAATTCGAACATGTTTCTGAAATTCATGACTTCTTCCCAGACGTCACCAAGCTGATACTCAGCGGGAATATTGACCACGAGCTTATGATCTCAGTAGGTTTTTTCATTCCGTCATGTTGTCTTCTTTCTTTGGTCTTATTCTGTCCGAACTCCTGTATTTCCACAGTCATAGAGCTAATTCGGAGAATCACAGGAATTGGTCCCAATCTTCGAGCCATTTCGACAACTCAAGGTTCTGGCACTCACGGACCTAGTCCACCCAGACGGCTTGGATGTGGATGCTATTCAAGATGATCTGTCAGCCAACTGCGAGCTCTGTAACGCAGGAGAGGAGGCCGAAATCAACGGGATTGAGACGTGCCAGAACGGAGATGGACCTGGGATCAGCGCTGCCGCAAGTGCAATCAAGTCAATTTTGACCCCTATACTTGTCAACTTGGTGTCCTCCCCCCCTAGGCTTTGATTATTGGCTAACTTGCAAGTCTGTCAAGTCAATTCTTACGTAATATAGTATCACCTAATTAGGCAGTTTTTGAAGCTATTCAGAAGCCCTACCCTTATATACACCCCCTAGGAGAACCTTAGATGGAAGCTCTCCGCCCCCCCTCACGTATGCTCTCACGTATGCTCTCATATATCCTCTCACATATGCTCTCATATATCCTCTCACATATGCTCTCATATATGCCCCTGTGGCTGGGTATACTTGAATAAGTGGGGCTACAGCTGATCAACGACCTCCTATTAGCCAACTATTTATATATAAGACATCAAGTTAAACAATTCAAGCGAGGGGTATGGATTTGCTCACTTGGGTAGTAGCGATAGCGTCAACTTGGCCGATTGGCTTGTATTACTTGCCAAGTGACTTGCACTTGCGGCAGCGCTGCCTGGGATATGACAGTGCTCCTCAAGAACAGAGAAATGTGTGCAATAGTTTGCCAATCGAATAGCTACCGATGCCGTGCCTCGTCAATATGCCTGGTGATTCGAATATGTGTCGAGCTCTGTCCAATATCTTCCGAGTTCCGGAGTTTAGCTATCTGGGCGGGTAGTAGGCATAACGTCCCACACCCACTTTTGGCCACCCCCCACATTTGGCCACCCCAAAAATGCCTCACCGCCATGATGACCACCAACTTCAACCTTCCACAACTTCACCAATTTTAATCCAATCGCCCTCATCTTTCGTATATATCTTCTTTTGATCAAGATGCCTCAATATACCGAAGATGACATTAACCAGGCTCTTGAAGCTATCGCACACGGTACTAGCGTTAAAAAAGCTGCATTTGAATGGGGTATACCACGATCGACGCTGAAAAATCGTATGAAGGGTCATCAGGCAAGGGATATAGCCTTTTCTGATCTGCAAAGACTCTCTGCAGGCCAGGAAAGCCATTTGGCTGAATGGGTTCGAATTCAGGCTGCCTTAGGCCTACCTCCAACTCATCAACAACTCAAGGACTTTGCTGAACGCATCCTACAGGTCCATGGAGACTCCCAGCCTCTTGGAAAGAACTGGGTACAGTCTTTTATTAAGAGAAACCCATCTGTAAGGGTCCAAAGAAGCAGAGCAATCGATTCCCAGCGTATCAATGGAGCTTCAACTAATGTAATCAGGCAATGGTTCAAGCACCTCGCCATACCTGAGATCATGGCCATCAAGGCCTACAATCGATACAATATGGATGAGACTGGTATCCTAGAAGGTAGAGGATCAAATGGGCTTGTTCTTGGATCATCAGAAACTCGTTCTATCCGCAAGAAACAGCCTGGATCGCATGCTTAGACATCTCTGATCGAGTGTATCTCTGCAACTGGCAAGGCACTGCCTCCACTTGTTATATATAAGGGTAAGAATGTCCAGCAGCAGTGGTTCCCTCTAGATCTGACGCCATATGAATCCTGGAAGTTCACAGCTACAGAAAATGGGTGGACTTCAGACTCTACAGCTGTCAAGTGGTTAACAGAGGTCTTTATTCCTTCAACCCAGCCAGGGGACCCCTCAGAGGTCAGATTATTGATCTTAGATGGTCATGGAAGCCATGAGACTACTGCTTTTATGTATATATGCTTTAGGAACAAGATATATCTACTGTTCTTGCCAGCACACACGTCACACGTCCTTCAGCCACTCGATCAGTCGGTTTTTAGGCCCCTCAAGGCAGCATACAAGAAGGAGCTTGGATTACTGGCTGAATGGGATGCTGGTATAGTTGTGGGTAAGAGAAATTTCGTTATATGCTATGGCAAGGCGCGTAAGGCAGCCCTGACAAGCAAAAACATCATCAGTGGCTGGAAATGGACTGGTTTGTGGCCTGTCAGTATGGCTAGACCCCTCATGAGCCCTCTGCTGCTTGAGAACACTTCAACCCCTGCCAAACCAGCTGGTCAGGTCTGCAAAGGGCTCTCTGATGGCAAAGCAAGCGAAAAATGGGCGGCAGATATATCAGCAGTCCCTTGGTCAACCCCTAAGAAGAGGGATGAGCTTCAGGATCAGTTCAGCCTGTTCAGTAAGCTGGATACCGATGAGCACACGCAGCGCCTGCTTTTTCGGAAGGTTCAAAAGGGCTTTGATGAGAAGGCATACCAATTGGCAGTAGCCCAGCGAAAGATTGAGGCACTGCAGGCAGAGGTTGATGCCAGTAGGGCCAGGAAACGGAAGAAGGTCAGAATGAGCCCAAATTCGAAGTTTGCCGATATTGAGGCCATTCGGAGGGCTCAAATCGAGGCGGGCGAACTTGAAAGTAGCACAGATGAATCCAGCGAGTCTGAAAACCCTAGTGACAGCGAAAGTTGCATCGTTATGGCATCATAATACATATAAATATTGGTTGAAGTTGATGTGTATAAATGTGAGGGCATCAAAAATGGGGTGGCCAAAAGTGGGTGTGGGACGTTAGCTGAAAAGAGGGACGACGGCCACAGGGACGACAGTACCATAGTTGACATCAACGGGGACGACTGCGATAATAGCAACGACAGTAAAAATATGGACGACGAAATCGCTAACATGCGATAAACTATTAGACCTAACATAATACCTACTTATCCGTCCGGTTAGCTCGAAGTATCCGCCTGGGTAACAAAACTCTTGTGTTAAACTGCTAACTGCTAACTACCATCTTACATCTTGCTCGGCATCCTCATACCTCCGTCTAGCCGCAGCACCGTGCCGTTGAGCATCACATTCTCAATAGCGTGTTTCGCCAGTGCCGCGAACTCCTCGGGCTTGCCAGCTCTGACGGGGAACTCCATGGCCTTTTCAAGACTGGCGCGGACCTTGTTGCCCATGACGGCAGTCATACGGGACTCGAACAGACTCGGGGCGATTGTCACGACGCGGATGCCAAAGCGGGCGAGATCTCTCGTCATGGGGAGGGTCATGGCTGTGACGGCGCCCTTGCTGGCAGCGTAAGCGACCTGGCCCTTTTGCCCGTCAAAGGCGGCGGACGAGGCGACCATGATGACAACGCCCCGCTCGCCATCCGGCGTGGACGGCTCGTTCTTGGCCATGAGGGCGAGTGCCTGGCGGGTGAGGTCGATGGTTCCGCGGAGATTGATGTTGAGGACAAAGTCCCACTGGTCGAGGCTGAAGGGGTTGCCGTCACGGTCGAGGATCTGAAAGTCGTTAGTGGTGGGAGCATGGCCGACGTGAAGAGATCGGGTTTACCGTTGCCGGGTTTCCTACACCAGCAGCCGGGATAACGCCGCCCACTGGCTTGCCGGTTTGCTTCACCCAGTCGGCGGTGCCTTGGACAGCGGCCTCGATGCTCTTGGTGTCGAGGACATCGCAGACAAAGAACTTGGCAGAGGAGCCCAGCTTAGCGACGAGCTCGTTGCCCAGGTCCTCATTCATATCCAAGATGGAGACATTGCCGCCGCTCCTGCATATTTCCTCCACGCAGGCCTGACCTAAGCCGGAGGCTCTGTTATTGGATGAAAGTCAGCATGAGTTAATGACATTGGTGTTTGGCATGTGATCAGGGACACCACGGTTTCAATGAGCATAACGGGGACGCCTTGCTTACCCGCCTGAAATGATGAACGTACGGCCGTCAATCTTCATGATGCTTGAATGTTTTTACAGAAAGTTAAACGTGTTTCGTCGCATAAATTAGGAGTAGATGAAAGCTCGTCGTTGATGCGGGAGGCGTGAGCTTACAGCCAGTCCCCTGAAGCTCGGTAGTCCGGTGATGTCAAGCCTCGGTACGGGGCCTCGGTGTGCGACTCCGGTGAGCTGTGGCCCCTGCTCAGGTGCTATGTGAGGACTTGGTGTGCCATTGGCGGCTGCTGTCAGTGAGTGTGATGAATGACTGCCCATTGCGGTACGTATTCGTACCCGCCTGTTCTTTCCATCCTACTGATAAGACGGTACGTGCCTGGGACGTTGTCTTATCGGAGCCACGCGTGTGGCTGCCCACCCACCCACCTTCATAATAACAAAAGAGGGAAGGAAAAAAAAAAGGCCCGGCGCTCGAGCCTCCCGCGTATCGACGTGGACCACACTCAGTGGACTCAGCAGGCGGTCTAGGTGCTGCAGCTGCAGTGTGGTGCTGCTCCGAGCCTGTGAAGGACGGAAAGTGCGTGGTTTGGCGGCCATCCCATGTTACAGGACGAGTGCAAGCACCGTTCAAAGGTTCTGGGTCATGGGTCCTGGGTTCCGGGTTCTGGGTCCTGGTCCTTGTGCTTTGCGCTGCTCTGCTTGGTCGCCTGGTGTGTCTTCCGTCATTGTGTTGCTCATCGCCCTTGCTGGGGGGCTTGTTTCCAAGAATAAGGTACCTTACCTTGCCTTACGCTACAGTGACCTTCTCCCTCTTTGCTGCATCAACCAGCACAGTACATCAATCACCTCAATCAGTCCGTCTCCCTTGCCCGACACGATACGAAACGCAGGTCCAAACTGCTCGCTGCGACCTCAACGTCGCGCCCAGCCAGAGGCCGCCGCCTTACGATTTTTGTTTTTTTTGCTCGAGTCTTTTCTTTTTCTGCAGTCGCGGTTCCTTGCTCGTTTTTCGCTGTTGCTTACCAACAAACGCCCACGATCCGTCCTTATCGCCAGCGCCGTCCGTTGCCCGACTTTTCCGATCCGATCACCGCAACACAACATTCCGCACCGCCACTATGACGAGACCGCGTCGCTCCAGCGCCGCCAGCGAGGAAAGCGATGGCACCGCTGGCCAGCAGGTCAGGGCATTCCGACACTCCGATCAGATGCCGAAAAAGGGACCAAATATGCTGACGGGATGTGCAGGAGCTGGGGAGCATGTACGATTACCTCGCCAAGATCATCCTCTTGGGACCTAGCGGGACAGGAAAGTGAGTGACGCCCAGGACACCACGCGAGCACCTGCGATAAAATCATACCGGAGTCGAGACATGGCTGACGATGTCTCTGCGCATACAGATCCTGCCTGCTGCACCGCTTCGTTAAGAACGAGTGGCGGGTCTTATCGTCCC